GCTGAGGAGGAATTTACTGTCACCATGGTCAAAAGGTCCATTCAGAGAAATAAGAATATAACTGATCTCATTAATGTCTAAGCCTTTCTACATGTATGTTTATGTGCATATATGTAAATAAATGAAAGGTTGGGTGCAGAGCAGACTGCAGAGAAGTGTAGTGTTCATTTACATCACCAACAGGGACTGTAGCAGGAAAACACAGAGCTTGCAGGAAAAAATAGTTCATTCAGGTAACCTCTATTTCGCCTTGCTTCATTACTGAATCTCAGACTACTGCCGTGCAGTCACTGTTTACGCTGTTTCATTCATTGTGATAGAGAGCAGGGGTCATGATGAGCAGAAGGTTTGCAGTGGATAGGTCTTTCTTAGATGTGTGTTCCTGTAAAGAAGATTGCTCAGCCTTTTTTGCTGTTGCTTCAGTTGTCTTCACCCTCAACAATCTCCACTAGCATCAGAAACTAGTTACAAAAACACCCGAAACTTGTCCAATCTTGGGTGCTTGTAAACCTTTGCACACAACTAGAAATATAAAAAGTCAGGAACAGGACTCAAGTTCAATACACAGTAGCTGAGATAGTGATATACCATAAAAATAAAAATAGAAGACTACCTGTGTGGATTTTAAAAAACTGTCACACTCATCACCACTGAAGGAGTGTCTCAGTTACCATGGTGATGGGAAGAAAGGAAAACACTGCACATCCTCTCAGCTATCTGACTTTTAAACCCAAAGTCATCGTCAGCACTGCTCCACTGAATATAGTCTATTTTTATAATTGCTTTTATATTACTGTATATTGTCTGCTACATAGCAGAAGGGAGTTAACAACATAATTTAACTTTGTACCTTACTTACCTAATTATATTATATAGCATCCATTCATGATTAGATAGATAGATATCTCATTGCGTTTTCAAATAGAGCAGGTAGACCACGCTCTATGTAATTTTATTTACAAAGTGTGAGAGTGTTATTTACAGAGTGTGAGAGCTGGAAGCTGTTAGCTGATGCTGCTGCCTCTCCCAGCTGCTGCCGCTGATGCAGGCTACTGTGAATGATGAAAGCTGAAATACGTTCACAGCTGAAGGCTGAAAGAAATTGTAAAAGCTGAAATGGCTGACAACCCAGCTGATGTCAACTGAAATTAAGTGCTTTAAAAACTTGGAAGCCAAAATGTAAAACTGGAACTGGGAGCTGAAGTGCATTAGCTAAAGAAACGGTGAGCTGAAATTTGTTGCTGAAACAGCTGAAAGGCAAAATAATATACTGCCACAGCTGGTGGAAATAAAATGCTTTAAAACTGTGAAAGAAGAAAATCATTGCATTAATATCAGATCTAAAATTCACTAGCACCCTTTTAAAATTAAATTACTTTCTCTAGATCTTATTTTGAAACATCCACCTCATCCTGTGTTTCCAGTTTTGATACAGTTACTTTTTGGTGCTTTTATTTTGAAAAACTAGTTTATGTCTAGTGTCTTATTAATATACAGTGACCGTATATAGTCTTTCAAATTTCAACAAGTTGTAAAGTGAAATTGAGTTTGTAACTCCCTTCTGCTACACAGCAGACAATATATATTAATAAAGAATCAATTATAATAAAACAGTAAACAGAAATAATCTGTCATCAGTGGAGCAGTGCTGAGGATGAATTAGAGTTTAAGAGTCTGATAGCTTGGGGGGGAAAGCTGCTCTGCAGTCTGGTGGTGCAGCAGCAGATACTTCTATATCTTTTCCCAGAAGGCAGCAGGGTGAACAGGCTGTGGCTGGGTGGGTTCTGTCCTTTAGTATCTTTGGACTCTGTGTAGACACCTCACCTCACTGATATCACTGATGCTCAGGAGATGGGTACCAATGATCTTCTGAGCAGTTTAATCATCATGCAGAGCCCTCCGGTCCTGGGCCGTGCACGTCCCACGCCAGTTTGTGATGTTTCCAGTCGGGATGTTTTCTGTTGCTCCTCTGTAAAAGCTCACAAGAATGCGGCACGGGAATTTGACCGTCTTAAGCTCCCTCAAGAAATAAAATTTGTTTCTTCACCAGCGTGCAGATGTGAGACGACCATGTCAGGTTCTCTGTGAAGCTCATTTTCAGGAAGCTGAAACTGTTCACCTGCTCCACCTCAGCACCACTGATGTAGACAAGAGTGTGTGTCTTTATCTCCTGTTTCCTGAAAAGAACGATTAGCTCCTTGGTTTTGCTGACGTTGAGCAGTAGGTTGTTCTCTGAGCACCACTTTGCAAGATAATAAATTTAGTACCGATATGAAGTCTCATCGTTGTTTGAAATCCGGCCGAAGACGGTGGTGTTGTCTGCAAACTTTATATAGAGAGTTCTCTCTATGTCGTGGGACGCAGTCGTGGGTGTACAGCGCGAACACGAGATGTATGTGTCTGATAGTGTATGTGTGAGAGCTGTGTTCCAGCTCGCTAATGATTTTAGCAGCGGGGGCTTGCAATCAGAGTTAGACGTTGCAATGAATGTGTAGGGAAAAAAACATCACCTGCACAACATATTACTGTCACTTCTATGAGTTGGTGTCATCAACAGTAGCTAACCTTCCTTAATATATTTCAGTGGTAGTTAGGCCTAGTATGTGTGCTTATTTTAAATACCAGCAGAAGAGGTTATGCCTGGACGGACAAATACTTGTACTGTGCTCTGGTATTGATCTGTAAGTGAACACTGTTGTCTGCTCTTTCCTCAAGATTACATCAGTATCTTGTAGGAGCTCAGTAGCTTCTGAGGCTACATTTGAACCATGGTCTTGGTCTTATAGAGGTAAAATGTGGAACGTGGAACATCACTTCACATGATAAATGCATATAGTTCCCATGTGAAAACATCAGTTTAAAAAGCTATTTTTTGGAAGGGACACACATTTCACATGTGATATCAACATTTTTATGTGTAATAAATAAATTATATATGCACATGGTTTTCTAATATTTTATAAAATCTACATGTGAAAACCTATTTCACACATTCAGTTTTTCTCGGGGGCCAGCATTTCACAGCAGTGACAACAGTATGTCTCACATGATAAAAATTCACCATACTTTTTAAATATTTGACACTGGAAATGTAATATTGTGAACACAACAATTCCACATGTGCTATTTGTAAAAAAAATTCCACTCATATATGCGTTTAACGTGATTATATGGGCACATGTGGTTTTCAAACATTTAACACATGAAATGTCAGACATCATATGTATCAAAAACGCACAATATCACATGTACTTTTTGGTAAGGGACAAACATTTTGCATGCAATATCACCAGTGTTTTTTACATGTTTGTGCGTCCACACCTCTATTTCGGTTCATTTGGTCCGGACCAAGAAAAACAAATTTTACATTGTTGCATTTTAGTTCTGGTCCAGTTCCTGTTCGTGCTGACATTTTACAAACAAACAAGAGGAGGAAACATAAAGTTATGAAGACTGACAGGTAACACGTTGAGTGGACAGTTTTGGCAGTAATCCTGCATTATCAAGACAGGCGTGGGGAAATCTAATTCCAGTGACTGACAGAGATTATGCACCACTTCAATGCTTCTGATGTGTATATTTATTAGTATTATTAAACTGCAAATCGACTGCATGTTATGACTAATTACATGATGGAAAAAGAGGCATAATTGTACAATGATTTGCATAAAAATAATCCGGAACAGTGGATTTATTAGTAGTTCAGCTGTTGAAATAATGCTAAAATCACATATCTGCTATCAGAAGATCCTGTGGTTGGTTCATTTGTTTTCACATCAAACTGCAGCAGAGTCAGCTGGGAGGCGGGTGGAGACCAGCCCAAACGAACCTTACCATATGGTGTGCTCGTACCATATTTAAACTTTTACGTCACACAAAGGCATTTATGGCTTTCGAATATTTTACTTGTGATGATTATTATAATATATTCATGACATAGAAACATGTAGTTCTTTCATTCATATGTGATACTGTACATGAATTTCATGTTTTTGTGTGAAAAAGAAAAATGTTTTACATAAAAATATTATAATATTAGTTATTATGTTATAATAACATATAATGAGATCTATTAAGAAATCCCTAATCTAACATTTCTATCCTCATATTACTATGTGGTGAAATCATTATGCTATATACTATTAGTGAAAGTGTACACACACACTGAAAGTGTTTTCTACCCCCCTCACGCAAATATCTTACAGCCTACATACTGCTAAAACTCTAGCCAGTAGAATACGTCAAAGCTTTTAGCAATATTAAATGTTTTTTATGTCATGGCACAGTTATATTATAAACAACACCTGCCTGACAATATAGTTTTTGATTTATTTGTCTGAGAGAGACAAACAGAGTCATAGAAATGAGCAACGTGCAGTGAGAACGAGCGTCTAAGGCTAACAAAGACAGATGGTACGTAAAGCAGAGGTATAAAGGGGAGGAAGCAGGAGGAGGAGGAGGAAACGAAATGAAGAATGGAGGAAAGAGAGGAGAAGGACATGGTAGAGGAGTTGTTTGGAAGGTGAGAGGGAGAAGAGAAGCAATAAGAAGGAGTTAGTAATCTCCCCAGCTGTTTGTGTGAACAGAGCTGATGTGTCAACTGATGGTCGTCTCTCCTTTTGTGTCCATCTATCAGCATCTCTTATCTTACTGAAAAAGCATGTGGTTTCCTGAAAGCTGGGCCCCGGCCCAAAGCCAGCCTGCCGAGCCTGAGAGGAGCACAGAGTCATTGATATTGGGGATTATCTCTTATTATGGTCATGCCTCACTTTGCACCCAACCAACCTCACATCACAAGACTGGGACTGCTGGCAGGCACGCACACACAAACACAGCAGCTTTACACATGCATCACTAGCCCAGCCAGTGTGTGTTTGAGCTCGCATGGCTCAAACACCTATCTCACACAATCAGGCACCCTGTCAGATAGGCCTTATCAGTAGGTAAAAGATGCCAAGCGCTGCAGAGACTCATCCCTCTTCCACTATTTTACCTGACAGGAAGAGCCATATGTGATGTTCAAGAAGTCTGACAAGCCGCTGTATGGGAATGACCGCTTTGAGGGCTACTGCATAGACCTGCTGAGAGAGCTGGCCAACATCCTTGGCTTCCTTTATGAGGTTCGCCTGGTGGAAGATGGGAAATACGGCACCCAGGATGAGAACACGGGCCAGTGGAATGGCATGGTGAAGGAGCTAATGGACCATGTGAGTCTTAAACATCATTATTAAAGAGTGCATGAATGTGATCCCAGCAAACAGATGTAAACATACACCTGTTCTTAGAGGATTCTGATTTATTAAACTTGGGTCTTATTTTCATAGTTCTGACCAATGGTTCTTATAGTTGTGATAACATTGTACACCCAAAGTTAATTGCTAAAATTTGGGAAGAGCCAGTAGTCAGATGATGATGAGGTGACAGGTTGGAAACACCAGTTTCTCCAGATTATCTAAACCACTTTATTTGGAGGTAAAATTAAAAGTAAGCATACCTGAAATGTCAGTATAACAAATCCAAACAATCATTGCATGGTAAAACTGAAACTGTGCCCCAGTTCCCTATAACATACATAGGTGGATTTTATGTAGTATGTGCATTTAGAAAAGTGACAGTTTAGTACACACTAAAAGTTTAGATAGCAGTCAAAAAACCACTTGATTTCTCAGTGTACTGTTGATGTCGTCCCATAATACAGAGAATATATGAAAGAGCTGCTTACAGCTGCAAAACATTACAATAAATTGCAAATTGTGGTGATACAGCTACGTAAAAAATAAGAAAACTATTTTGATTTCATTTGTGAAGTTGAACTGGCAATGGCAATCTAAAGTTCCCTTTTTATTGTTGTCATATGGCACATGATTCACAGAGATATATATATATAATACACAAAAACATAAGCAGTTGAAGATGGATGGATACTTGGTTAAGTTGAGGAAAAGATCATGGTTTGGGTTAAAATAGGAATGGTACTTATGTAAGTTACGTACATAAGTTAGTTAATCACGTGACTTAAGTATGCAAATTAAATTATGTAACTTAACTCACATACTTACGTCACATACATACTTATGCCGTATTAACTTAATTTATGTACTAGTAGATCATCTACAGGCCAGCAGATCAGAGTTTTACCGGCCCCTTCTGTATTATAATGGAATGGAAAAATGTCAATACTATTACTTCATTCATCATATGTTCATTGTAATGATTAATTCAAACAACAAATAACTGATTAATTCTTCTTATAATTTTTAAAGCTTTTAATATACATTTTTTGATTCGATTTTCCCATCAAAGTGCTATTAAAATGCAAAGATAGGGAGGGACTTGATGCAGAAGTTTATTGACGTTTACAGTAGCCAGTAGCACTGACTGTTCGTTACACCCTCCACTGTGTCATGCAGGCTCTATGCAGACTGGTTCCAGCTCCCAGTGAGTAAACACTGCGGTGGGACAGGGACCGAACACAGCCTCCCCGACAGACAGAGGCCATTTTGATGATAGGGAATACAGTTTTGGTTTTGGTTACCCAAAGCTTTTGTCAGCTAATAGGACCACTTGCTGTACAGCTAACTTAGCTAAGTATTTACAGAAAGAATTAACAGCAGTTATCAGTTCAGTAAAATGTAAAGCTATCCATCCCTCAAGAACTCTGTAAATGACCTCGGTACCTTATTCCCTGTTGGCCTTTGAGGCTGTGTTCGGGTACTCTGTAGATACTATCACTGCAAGGAAACGAGGCAAAGTAGCACTGTATCCAAAGGCATGACATGTGCCTATTTCCACATCCCTGCCCTTCAGTATCTCTCTGTAGATTGCAGATATCCCTCCACCCCTCTTTCCCTCTCTGGACAAAAAGGAAAAGCTCTAGCTGTGTACATAGGCCTCAGTCAGTTTAAAGATAAGTGAAGTATAATGTACACAATTAATATGTAGAATGGAGTTGGGACATGTGTTTTTGTGGAACTACAGTAGGTCAAAGCTGAAGCAGGAATGTAAACTGTGATAGCTTTTTAGAGTAACCTTTTCTCCTCTAAGCAAGTTAACTGTTTACAATCTGTCTGATCCTCCGAGCTGTTGTGCTTCTTGGCCCATCTGACTTTTTTGTGTAATATTGTAGTCTTTCCAGATCTCAAGTGACAGCAAGTAAAAATGATAAACTGACAATGAAAGCAACTGTTTAGGGTTTAAAAAATTATGTTTTGTATCTATTACAGCATTTATTGGTCAAATACTAAAACTAATAACTTCAAAGAAACGGTTACATGACGGTCTAAATCCATCCAAACTTTCCTGCTACAACTGATGAACAAATGCCCTTCTTCTGTCCACAAAATAAGATTATTCTTAATTAATCTATTAGTTGAGTGACAAACAAATTAATGGGATTAATAACTTAATAATAGGGTTAGGGTTAGTAATTTATTAAGCAAATTGCCAAACACAGCTTTGGGTTTTGGACTGCTGGTCGGACAAAACAAGCAATTCAAATAAAAGATAGGATAAGCTTGATTGATGTGCAGGGAATGCAGGAAGTGTCACAGCAAAAACTACCAAAATAGATGCACAGTATACATAACAGAAGAAGCCCAAAAAATATTATACTGTACATTGCGAGCAGACTTCACCTTGGGATGTTATAATGGGCGTTTTTCTTAATTTTCGTCCTTTAACTAGTATATTCTGTTGTAAAATATGTTACATGTGCTTCCATTTTTTTCATTTAACATTAGTGCTCGTTGCAAGACTTGTTTCAATATTAGTGTAAACTGTCATATCAACATCAATTACTACATAAATGTTTGGTTGGAAATGACCGAGAAAATCTAGGAGAAGTATTACACTGAGTCACACTAAGAGGGAAAGAAAAAGAAAGAACTACCATTATTTGAGAGCACAGTGATGCGAGGAGAGCATAGATTCTGTTGTGACTTGTTTTCCCTACAGAGCTTATTAAAACACACACACACACACACAAGCAAATACAATCTGCTCACAGTGTAAATCATTACACCCAACAAAGTCCCAGTTAGGATAAACTGCATGGGCAGAAAAATATCAGGCGCTACACGGCCAATAGTCAATATCTGACCTCATTAGAAGCAGCACCCACGAGGGGTCAAGTCTCCCATAATTCCTCCACACTTGTCTTCGGCCTCTGCTCTTGATCAGTGCAGTGAGTGACTGTTGTGACAGATAGTCTGGTCTTTTCACGGGTGAAAGGCCTTATCCCCTGCGAGATGATGTTCAGCGTGGGTTTGCCCCACTTACTGTGTAGGGTTCAGCTTGACTTAGACAGATTGTGACTGCAGCAGACAGGCCCTCAGAAGACTGGGGAGTGTGAACTCACAGAGAAGAAGTTCAGTTGAAGAAGAAATGCTGAAGTGAGCTAAACAAGTTGGAAACATCCTGTCAAACGAATTTAGCAAAATGATCTTTGGTCCGTCTAACGTTCAAGTGGAGTAAACACATCCTGATGTATTTACACTGTGTAGGGTTGGTAGTTTGGATATATTCAGAGATGCCTTATATCAGCAAGAACTTTCATGTATCACAGCTGTGAGCCGTGAGCTCAGTCAATCCTCGAGTGATATATGGCAACCTTCATAAGACAAAAAGGATATATCTGTGATAAATGAACCACTTGACCTTGCTGTGGATGTTTAGCATTTATAGTCACAATGCAGTCTGAGATTTATTAACTGTCAGCAGCACATGGTTTTCACCCCAGATATGGAAAGATGACTTTCCTGAGCAGGTCCTCTACTTGCCTTTTCTATATCTCTAAAGCACACAACTCATATATAAGCACGACTCCTGTGTTGGCCAAATAATATGCCACATTATAAATAACTCACTTAATCGGAACAAAACGTTGGTATTGCATCAGTGGGTAGAAATTAAACTGAAAAATTGAAATAAAAACAAAAGTGGTGTAAGGCACTGGATTTTATTTTAAGCTGCAGACTGGCAGACCTCCAGCAGAGTTCTTGGCGCATACAATTGTGTCTCATGTTTATGTAAATGTGTAAAAACAATAATAGCAATAATAGCACCAATTCTTACATTGTTGTCTGACACGTAACTACTTACCTTAATGCCTAACAATGCATACAAATGATGTAGTTGGTCCAGCTTTTGCCTTTTTCTGGTGTATATCCAAAATGCCCTGTTTGTGAAATACAGTGGAAATGCAATGAAGAATTTAGTCACAAAGCCTCACAAGTTTTTTTAAGTCTCGTGTTATTGGTTGTGGGTTGTTAATGTCTTGCAGTGGAAAAGGATTATAGGTCCCCAGAATTGCAACGATATTACACTGACACCAAAGACAACACGTTGATTGCTTCAATACATCTTCAACCCTCATTAACTGCTCACAGTGTCAATGTCAGAAGTATCTTCAGGCCTTTAAATGCCACAGATGCATTAGTTATTTTCAGTCTGCTTGAAAACAACCGAAACACAGACCTGGAAGCTGTAAGAGAGTGTTCTAACCAACAGTTTGCAACTATGGATCCCATTTAGTCTTACCCCAAAAAGATATTTCAAACTCTGTTTAAAACCGTTTCCAGTTGCTGTTAGAGATATTAAAAGACAATAAGCAGGACAGTCCTTAACGTCAGTGTTTGTCCTTTCTGGGATAAAAGCCCTTACTAAAATGTCAGTTTTATTTTTTAGGGTTTTTGGTGAAGTTGCCAGTATATCACTAAGAGCTTGCTGAGCAATTATACCATTGAGGACTAAAGGGAAAACACACCAACCATGTTGCGTATTGTTGCGTGGTTTTAGTCATGGTACAGCAGCTAGGATGTGCGTATGCAGTCAGGGAATGTTATATAATTTCAGTACCTCACATTAAGGATAGGACTATGCTACAGCTACCAGCCATTCTAACAAAACGAGAAAGTAGGTAAAGAAAATAAATGAATGCTTTGATTTAGGCTCGAGAGAGAGAGAGAAAGTTGAGTTTAGTAGCGGGAGGATAGTTGACGGGTGGAAAGTGAAAGAGGGCTTTAAATTTCTTGCTAAGTGCCTTGGGACAGACTTTGTAGTGTAAAGACCCTGTTTTCTTAATTTGATTGCCTCTAAATGCTTCCTGTGACTGTGACTTATGGCCTGTCTGTCTTCTCTTTTATGTTTGCTGTTGACAGAGAGCTGATCTGGCAGTGGCTCCCCTCGCCATCACGTACGTGCGTGAGAAGGTTATTGACTTCTCCAAGCCCTTCATGACGCTGGGTATAAGTATACTTTACCGCAAGCCAAACGGGACCAACCCTGGGGTCTTCTCCTTCCTCAACCCCCTCTCGCCCGATATCTGGATGTATATTCTGCTGGCTTACTTGGGTGTCAGTTGTGTGCTGTTTGTCATAGCCAGGTAACATGTCACTTGCAGCGATCACAACTTCACACAGTCAGACACATGCGTAGCTGCCGTGGCTCAGCCTCGTTCATCTGACTAACACCAGGCTCATCTCTGTAATTGCAGGATGTGTGTCCTGAGCTCACTAACTCACTCATAGTGAAAGCTTACCACTCAGTGACAGTGCTAACGCTAATCAATGGTCATATATCAAAGCTCAGACTCGATGTCATTGCTGTGGAATGTGTCGAATGCAGTTTAACCATAAAGAATCACATAAATGTCTGCCTTCTTCCGCTGTTAGACATTCAGAAAGAATGGATTTCTGCTTATAGAAAATCTTCACATTGGCGCTTGGCATGGCTGCTAGGTTACTCCTGGCCTGCTTCTACTTACATCAGTATCAGTAAATAAAACTACAGGCGATACCCACATATACAGGAACACAGACCTTACACAGAGAAGTTGTAGGCCTATCAGCCATTTGAGGGTTGTGTTTGTGTCTGAGAGAGTGGCAGAGAGGTTGTGCACTCATATGGATATGTGTGTGTAAGTTTAAGTGTGGGCTGTGTCGTGCTTGATGTGAACACTGCTGCTCCTCTCGCAGCTTTCTCTCACTGTCCTGTGTCTCAGAGTTCATGCTGTCTTTTCTTTTCTCTTGTTTCCTTCACCTTGCTCCAAATGCAGCTATAACTCCCGAGTTCACTTTTCTCTGCTTGTTTTGGTTCACAGTCTTCCCAACAGCAAAAAAAAAAGTCATATGGCGTTATAAACAGCAAGTAAGTAGAGTTTTGAGCTGTCATCATACCAGATTAGACATTTTGTTGGAAAAGCACAGCCGAATCTAGTGCTTCTCCTTGTAACCTTCGTTTAGGATGATGATCTGATGATCTGGACTCTTTGTCAAGACTAACCTTCTCTGCTGCAGCTGAGACTCCAAAAAGAAATCTGTCCAGACTACTTTGTTATGCTGTCTTCCAAAGCATAAAGAGCTGTTGGATATCACATTGTCAACATCTGTCTTTTTCCCCCGTGTTATTTTCTGTAGTTGCTTTGGATTACTCTCTTACTTCTGCACCAGAGTTATCTTATAAGTGGGGCTATGACCTGCAATTTCAGGTCCCTTACTCAGACAAGTTCAAATGGCATTGCACTTGTTCAAAGCAAGTAAATCCAAGGAGGGAGTGCTGCAGAGTTTAATTACACCGCTCCAAACATGCTTGTTGTGAACATTTCTGAAGACATACAAGGTTCTAGGACTCACTCTGAGTTGCACGAATGGTGCTGGTGATGGAAAGTGATGACACTGTACAGTTCATAAGGGCTATGTTGAGTTCTGTACAGGGTTAGGGAAGTATGGGTAGATCATTGTACTGATGTGTAGTAGGAAGCCATAATAAAAATGAAGGAACTCATATTATAATTGTTTTTTAGATCAATTCTATAAATAATCAGAAACTTCTCTAATGGTACACTGAGCCCTAACCATAACTGTAAGAAATGGATACAAGCTGTATAAGGTTATTTGCTTTTGTGTTCATCTACCCTACAGATTAGTTTGGTGATATAGCCGACATCAAGAATGCTTTGGCTGGTGAAACGACACAACACATTATTTGTACCGATTGTCTTTTCTTTTAGTGTCTTTGCTCAGGCAAATTCTCTCCGTTGATAAAACAAGGCCAAATGTTTTGAGGGCTCGCTCACTTAATCTAGTGGCTCGTGCTTGTGGCTGCCGTTTGAATGGTGAATGGTTTGAGTGGCATGCTGAGGGAAAAAAAGAAAAAGAAAAAGTACATGTTAACCCTAAAACTTTTGGGAAAACATCGGCTCTCTTGCAGCTGCGACCCGACAGTTTTACTGTTAACCTTAATGAGTTTTCCAATGTTACTGGCGATATGATCACACAAGAGAATAAAAAGCAGCAACTGTCATCTAAGTTGGCTCAGAATATGCACCTATATGTATTTAATATCACAATAAGTAAGTGTTTGGGTAAGTGTATACATTTTCCCCTCACTTTATCCCTTCTTTTCTCCTGTATACACAAATGCATGCTGGGCTACAGTTGCATGTTTTTTGCTGTAGAGTGTACCACATAACAGTCTCACAAAAGTTAATAAAATGAGAAGTCTAAAAGGCAGATTACGTATTCTAACAGAAAATGTAGACATCCCTCCACCATGACAGAATTATGTGACGATGTGTATATGTTTATAATGTACTGCCAAACATTATAGGTTAGTCCGAAGAGCACGTGCGATTGAACTATAATAGTAGTGTACATGTCAAATGTCTTTTCACTCTCCTCCTCCAGTGGTATTAAGTCATGCAGATAGTTTTGGTTTTATTTGCTCATGTTATTTGTCTCTGAGATTTCTACCATCACTCCAATACAATAGAGGTAAACAGAAATTTAACTAGGGACATGTTTTACCAGTAAGAGTGTCCGTTGTTCTAGATAATCCACAGACCTAAATGTCAGCAGTTTTCAAACTTCATTCTACAGAAGAAAAAGTTCCTGTTTAAACTGGAAAGCTCTGGGACAACCCAGAGACAGATATCTAAAAAAGTAAAACATCTACATGGCTAGAAACCACAAAAAGTAAGTGAGTGAACTGAATCTTTAATAAAGTCATGAGATCAGTTAAGTGTGAAAACTTTATACGCTAGCATATGTATTTGATTGTATTTTTTGTTGCTCCAACAAGTCTCCTAAACTAAATGTCAAAAATGTTTATTTCTCATCTTCACACGCATATTTGTGTTTTCTGATCTGACGCCCCTACGGCAGAAAGGTTAGAAATGTTTTCCTTCATCTGTCACCGCTATGGTAAATGTTGGACTACTTGGTTAACCACATTGTTGCCTGTTGATAGGAAATGGGAAATTGATCAGCTGACCCCAACCGAGTTTAGTGGCTCTGAATGTCACACTACTTTTGACTTTGCTTCTGACAGATGTGTCATAATTCATATTATAGGTTGTTTCTCAGTTAAATGCAAACATACAGCAGTTTTTATCCATTTACTTAAAACAACCAATGCTATTTTCTCTTGGGACAATCTCTGCTTTTTCTATACACCCAGGTTTCTTTCAGATATACAGTATATAAAAAAAAACAACCTTCCTCTACATAATCCTTTCATGGTGGGAAATGTATTTCTTTTACTTTCCGTTCAAATACATCATTTGTATGTTAAGAAATCACACTCATTTCACATTTGTGAGACCAACCTGTCTAGCACATACATTTGATGGGCAAGATCTATTACTCCAAGGTTAAGTTCCACTGTGCATTTATTTACTTTTTATATATGTGTATGTACACATTGCACATTTTATCTCTGTATGCTTGTGTTTGTGCTGTGTGACTGACTGTTGAGTGGAAGAGTGAGAGACTGACAGTGATGAATACTAAGACTGATGGACACAGTGCTAGAGTTAGAGCAGCTTCTCTCCCATGTGTAGGCCTATTCCACATGGGTGCACAGCTAAAACCACATGATTACTCTGTTGTATTGCCACCTGCCCTGATATCTCCGCTTACTGATGTTAATGTTACTGGTTGTCGTTGCTTTTATGTTCCGTCTAATGACGTCAATAGCACTGCTGCTGCATCTGGCACAGGCGATATAACAGCTGAAAAAAACCTACACCACACCTCTGCTCAAGCCTATGCATTAACACCTCTGCATCCTACACATCAAGAGATATTTTTTAAGATAAGCGAGAAGCAGAGGTAAAACCTTAGAGACAGTAATAGATCAGAATGTTTTTGCAGAATATTATTAGTCTTTCTCTAAATAATTATGACTCGTGATAGGGTCATCGAGTTCTCGCCTGTCTTGCTCAAAATTTGAATATTTCTCTGTGTGTGCGAAGTCTTCCTTCCCTCGTCTCAAACTGTAATCTGCCTCTGTCCTCAGTCATAATGAAAAGCCCTTGTTTAAGTGTGTGCTCATATTAAAGGCACAGCCCTCATCATGTGGTTAAAATTCTCCACTGAATCCTATGCAGAAGGATGTTCTCTATTCATGCTTATAGTGTTTTTGTCTCAAAATCTTAGATTTCGAATTCGTAACTGGAGAAGGTTAACAATAATCACTGCACTGAGCATTTAAAATAATTAAGGTCTCATAAAAGGTATGCTGTGCAAATAAATACATTCCACAAATGAGTTAGATAGGAAGCTGCATTATATTAGAGATGGTTGAAGATTCCTGCATGATATGTAAAAGTTAATAAAAAGATGGGCCTGATGGGCAACGCAGATAAACCTGGATACTCAGTGTCATGCTCAGCAGTAATTCTATGACACATCTCTGAGTTGACTGTAGCAGCTGCATTCTGAATGAGCTTTTTTGGTGACCTGTTCAACGAACGTTACAGTAGTTGAACTTGCTGGAAATAAAAGTGTGGGGGGGAAATCTAAACCACTACAACATGCAGAAACGTAAGGAATACTGATCCGGACTGGTCCTTTATT